AAACGTGTCGAATCCACTGGAAGCCTGAGGTCCCGATAGGCAAAGGGACAGCGAAACAGGTTGTCCCCTCCGGAGAGTTCTTCCTGGGCAGGCAGGTGCGCCCTGTGCACAGCAAGAGGGGCTATCGCCCAGCCGCGACCCTGCAGGGAACCGGCCCCCGGGAGAAATGCTGGGACCCCAGAGGCAGCGAAGGCCACGCTGGCCACCCCTCCTTCCACAGTGCGCTGCGACTGAACGCTGGGAAAGGGAAGTGGGGTCCCAGGCGCCCCGGCCGCCCCTTCTCTGCGCGCTCATCTCCTCCTGGCTCCTGGGCCTAAACCCCGTAGAACCACGGGGCGGGGGCAACTTCACCCCTGCAGGGCGCTTCCGGCTGCTATCTGTGGTCTCAGCTTCCTCTGAGGGGCCGGGGACTGTCGGTCACAATCGGGGTGCTGCGCCCCGGGTCAGACCCTCCCGCACCGCAGTCCGAGGCCCAGTCCCGCCTCAGTCGCCACCGCGGGCACGGCCAAAGCAAAGGGCGCTTCTGGGTCTCACCCGCAGTGCGCTCAGAAAACAGGACACAGCAGGGCTTGGCCCCGGCCACCCCGACTCATCCGGTTCCTCGATCCCCAACTGCCGATGCCCCTGCAGACGGGCCTCGCCAAGCCAAACGTCGGCAGCCGTGTGGCCATGGCTAGCGTTGCGGTGCCCACGCAGTGTCACAGTGGCCTAGGCCAGCCAGGCTGCTGCCGTCTTCGCTGGCGGCCTGGTGTGACCTTGACCACCCTGCACAGGCCACACCGGGTCCCCTTAAGGCTGTGTGGCTTTGTGCTGCCACTGGGCCTGGCTCCCCAGCTCCTGCTGAGCCCACACTGACCTGAGCGACCACTGCTCCATCAGCCCCGTCCTGCCCACCGGGCTCCCTCCACGGGGCAGAAGGTCTCCGGCCCCCCTGCATGGCAGCACCCCCAACCCATGACTGCAAATGCTTTGTCCTCCAGGGCCACCCCCACAGCAGCCCGAGGGAGCCTCTGCTCTGCCCTCCACAGCCTCCATCCCGGTGAGCCCCATGTCTGTCATGACCCATGACATGACCCACCAGCCCAGCCCCACGGCCGTGGACCCCTTGGCTGTCTCCACCCCAGCTACAAGGCGCCGGGTCGCTCCTTTCTGCTCCTGTTAACGGATGGGAGAGTGTGGAGCTGGATGTGAAGTCCTTGGTTCTTTGGTCCAGATCACTAAAATTGGAGACCTGTCCCTAGGCGCAAGATGAAACCGCAAGCACGAATGAAGTAGGTAGGAGAGAAGGTTTAACAGGAAAGAAGCAAAGCACACCCGGAAGGCTCTGGGGGCAGATCCCAGGTGGCAGCCTCCATATGGGTTACCTTACTTCTATTACGAGAGGCCGTGCCCTGAATATCCTCCTGGGAGGTCTGTCACACGACCTGTGTCCTTCCTTCGTTTGAATTCGAATCCGAATCTCAGGTAAAGAATGCGGAATTTGATGACCTGATTGCGCAGCCCAGTGTGAGCCGCTGTTTAATGAGACTGCCTAATTCGCTTGGCCTGGGGGAATTAGGGGCCCTTTCGCTTTCCTCTTAGGGCTGCCCGCCCATGTCTGCCTACCACACTCTCCCTCCTGGAAGTCGGACCACAGAGCCAAGAGCCTTGGGCTCCCTCCCTCAGGACTTGGCTCAGCTGTCCCCTGCTCCAGAACCTTCCCTGAGCCACCGACTCCAGCCTCACGTTGGGCTGACGCCGTCCGCTCGTCGGTGCCCGCACACACACAGGCCGCGTCACACTCGTACACGTCTCATCCGCCACCTCCCCTTGGGACTAAGTGCAGGGAGCAGTGGCTGGCGTCTGGTCCCTTGATCCTTCTGCGTCCCGGGCACCTGAGTCGGCCTGGGCCCAGCAGGCGCAGAAGGCCAGGTATGGCAGGGCTCAGCGCCCCCGGCCCCGGCCTGGCCTCGCTCATCGCTTCCACCAGCGCCGTGAAAGCACACATAGGCTGGGGACCACCGCCGGGAGGGCAGTGCCCACGTCCTGCTCCCAGATGGCCTCGACCCGAAGGCCTGTGCTTGGCTAGGACCGCAGGCAGAAGCCGTCGAAGTTACTGGGAGTCTGAGTCCAGGTTCCAAAACCACTGAAGAACAGACGCCTGCCTGGTCTTCAGGTGCCCATGGCTCGGTGCAGGCCAAGGCCGGAGGTGGCCTCGAGCCAGTGGGGTCACTGGTGCCTGGCGCCTGCACCAGCCAGCAAACAGAGCAGCTTGGACAGAGGGGCCTTGGTGGCCCCAGGGCTCGTGCCAGGGAGGGGACTGCAGGGCTGGCTGCAAAGAGAGCGAGAGAGAGGGAGGATGCCACACAGGCACAGCTCAGCACTTTATGTTTAGAATGAAACCCACGGCAAGTCTCGCAGCGGCAACTCTGGCTTGTTTGGACACACTTTGTCCATCAGCCCTCGCGGGTCGCTCTGCGCGGGGGAGCCACGTCGTGTTCACAAAAGCACAGGTCTGGAGCGACCCTGCTCTCCGGTGTTGTGAGCATCTGGGACAAGCTCCTCGTTTGGGAGAGTGGCTCCCACCCAGGCGGGCGTGGTTCCCTCCCGGGTCCAGGGGGCCGGGGGAAGGGGCAGGAGACACCACACCCTGTAGGGAGGAGGCACCGCGCTGTCTGGTGAACTCAGGTCACACGCAGTTTGCAAACTAGTTCCTGGGCTGGGCTCCACAGGCTTCTCCCCCATGTCAGGAGCTGAGCCCCAGGATGCGATGGGACTGGCAGCTCCCAGGGACACAGGGACCAGGAAGAGAGTGACAGGACTCCTGGCTGCTCCTCTGAGTGGGCACTGCCTCCCCGACGGTCACTTCTGGAAGGTGCCCTGACAGTTGGAGCATCTTCTGGGGCCCAGAGCACACCTGGCTCAGGTCACCCGGCTCCGCGCTCCCTGCTGTCCTCACCCTGAGGCAGCGCCCTGCCCTGTGCGTCCTGCGGGCAGCTGATCTAGGGGTCCAGGGAGACTGCAGAGCCTTAAGGAGGCCCTGGAAGGTACGGGCCCTGCAGAAGCTGGGCACTGCCCTCCACCCCTCGGCAGGCCACCAGGGCCCAGGCAGCAGCAGAGGCAGCTTGCCCACCCCAGGGCTGCTCAGACAGGCGGGCCCTAAGCCCCGAGCCAGCGTGGAGGGAGTAGGCTAGGAGGCAGAAGGATGGACGGGTAATCAATGTCACCAGCATGCCAGGGCCCAGACCCCCGCCCCTCCGCCCACGTCCCTCCACGCCTGTGTGTGGGGCAGCAGGGCCTCCTCCGCGCTGGATGGGCCTATGCTTTGTGCCCTCCAGCTCTAAGTGGGAGGAGCGACTGTCAGGACTTTCAAAGGTGGCATTCTTCAGCTGTCAGAGCCACAGTGACAGCCTTGGGAAGCAGGCCAGGGGCCTCTGCCAGGCAGGAGACAATGGTGGAGACAGGTGCATGGCTCCCGGCCTCCTCCGCCTCCCCTGCTCAGAGCTATAAATACTTGCGGATGCAAATGGAAAATGCTTCAAGACATTTATCATAAATTACAGGTGGATGGTTGTGAGTCTTTAGGCCATGGCGCCTCTGGGGGAGTATTTCAGTTCTTTAAAAAAAGAAAGTAAAGAAAGAAAGAGAAAGTACCCCCCAGGGTGGCCAGGCCCATCCCCACCAGTCTGCTTCTGGCTGGGAAGCTGCGGGCTGAGAAGCCAGGAGCTGGGTGGCCCGGAGGGCGGAGGGGCCCAGCCACACCTCGGCCAGTGGCCAGGATCACAGAGGCAGCAATGACGGCACAGCCCGGTCAGAGTGACAGCCGGCTGACGGCGCCTCGCCCCTCCTGCTAGTCTGAGCGCCATGCCACGAGCAGGTATGATTGAAATCATGGCGTTTTACATGTTTAAAAAGAGCACGCGGTGACCCGTGAGTGGGGCTCCCTGACGCCTCCGTGCACCTGCCCGGCCTGCATGTGCCCAGCGGGGCTGGCCGCAGGGATGCAACGCAGGGTGTGCGAAGACGGGTGCTGGGCATGCACAGGAGAGGGGCGCAGTCTGGAGCACGTTGGGGGACCAGGCAGGGCAGGGCAGCCACCCTGGCGTGGCAGCAGCAGCCACAGGCCATGCTCCGTTTATTTTGCACACACGGGAGGGGAGTGCGGTCTGGAGCAGCCTCGAGATTCGGCCTCGAGCAAGAGCCAGTTCCCGGCCTAGGACACGCCCGGCCCTCTCTGCCCTCCCAGCCTTGCCTGGTGTGGGCACTCGTGGCTGGACGTTGTCCAGGAGCCTCCTCGCCATCGCCGGCGCACTCCGCTGACAGCCCAGGCCTCCGAGGCCGGCCCAGGACGCCGGGCAGGCCCCCCCAGGGAGATGGGGCGCCGGCCAGGCCACCGCACCAACTGCCGAGCAAACCCCAGGCACCAGGCCGGCCTCGAATGCACCGCGGTAGCCGCACAAGCACGGAGGTCCGGCCCGCCGACTGCATCACTTCCCGGGCCGCTGCGGAGCCCGAGCGCCCGCCCGAGCTGTTGTCAGGACCGA